GAAACCCCATTGAATAGATCAATTTACAATGGCACGAAATGAGCAACACACTGATGCCCTTTAACGTTCTCTCTCGCATATATATATATTTTTTTTTTCTTTTATCCTCTGTTGTTACCCCCAGTGTTATAGTACTCTCTCCCTTTTAAACATGTGCGCATGTGCATAATGGTTAAGTTTTATTCGGCTTTTTTTTCTCTCGAGTTGAGGTTATGTGTGTGTGTATGCGCGAAATAATCCGTTCGCCGCGTGCGGCCCTTTTGTCAATGGAGACTGCGGAATTATCGGGTGTATTATCTGCCCACCAACGCTGAATTTTCCACTGGGAATTCGTTTTTCAATACTCGAGGATTTTTTTTTTTTTTTTTTTTTTTTTTTTTTTTTTTTTTTTTTTTTTTTTTTTTTTTTTTTTTNGGCGCATAGCCAGGAAAATTTCCGATTCCAGACACTACAATTGAGTGTGTCTGGGTTCAATTATTGTAAAGATACTGAGAATTACGTTTTTTTTTATGTTGAGGGAGTGGTGAGGGGTAGGGGAATTTAATTGTAGAGGATTGAATCGGAAATTTCCCGGGGTGTTTAACGACGTCAATTTTATTTTGATATCGCTGCAACCACCCGAGATATCAAAGAAAAATTGAAAAATGAAAATTGACACTGGCTTAATTTTCAAAAAGAATGCTCGAAAATCCTCCAAGGCGAGACTTCTGAAACATGCGAAATATGTAGCACGTAGCGTGACGTGGGCAATAGGTATCTGGGATGTTGGGGCGACCCAGAACCCTTTGACTAGTTTCTACCTGTCTTAGTTTTCGGTACTGAAAAAAGGTGAGGGAAGAGACGAGAAAATAAAAACTAGCTCGGGCGCTCCGAGAGACCCATTGAACCACAGCTCCAACAATTCACTACTTCAGGAGCATTGACGACCGAAATAACAATTACAATTCCTCAAATAGTCTAATTTTCCATTACTCAACTAAAAAATTTGACTCCTGAATTTTTTTCTCATTTGTCTTTCAACAATTCTCTGAATGATCAATCGATTCACTGACTTTACACAATTTTTACGGATTAAGAAGTGGAATTGTTGAGGCCACTGAATCGAGAGACGACGGAAAAAAAAATTTCGTTCGTCTTATCCATATCTTCAGAGCCGAAAAAAAAAATTGCGTCAGTGGGTGAGCTTAACTCTTATCGTTATCAGGATGGCAGAGCTACTCGGGCAATAGCACCGACAACAGCTACCCGTGTTACCTGTGCTCTACATATTATCATCACAAGTTAAACTAAAATCAACTTAGTGGAATGAATGTTGCGAGATAAATGAGCCTTTCATCTCCCTCTGATACACTATTTTACCATACGAAAATTCTATTATCTCTCGAGTAATAAAGACACGAGTGTGCATACAAATGATTTTAATCCGCTGGCGTCAACACTCTTTCCTCACTGTGTAGTGAGTGGAATTTATTTTTCAAGTGGCTGAAACCAGTGGAACACTCCGATCGAATGAAAGAGAAAAAAAAGTCCCTTGAGACTGAGGAAAAATTGTTTTACGAGGGCTATCAGAGTCTTTTGTCGTGCGAAAACGATTTCACTTGACCCGTCTGCATGTGTTATCGGTAATGCGAGTCCACATTATTGACACTAGGATGAGAATGGCGGTAAAACATAATTGCATAAATATTTTTACGCCGAGTGGAAGGAAAATATAGGGGACTGCAGGAGAAATGGAGTGTTTCGGTGAGAGTGGAGGCTCCGTTGCGGGGGTTTTCGGGATTTTATGTGTTCTGTGATGCAGCGGTACCTGTGGAAGGACTACACAGATGAATCGAAGGAATGTAAACTCTCGAAATCCTCAACGCAATGGACGAAACCTGAGAACATCGATTTTTTCGTTTTCGTGAATCTGTCCCGTATTACCTCAAATTTACCGAGGAATAAAGGAGTTAGGGGCAGTTATTTGTTGATGGAGAAATCGGAAATTTTCCTGGCTACAAAATGGCGCTAAATTAATCCCTCTAGCCCTCTCCCCTCTGAAGATATCGTCAAAAAACTTCAAACGAATTACTATGACTTGCAAGAATAATTCCAATTGAGTGAAATGGAAATGTTTTTTGTATTTCCTAAATTTTTTCAAGAACTGAACAAGTTGGAGACTTTTAGTTATTGAGGGAGAAATCCGAAATTTTCCTGGCTACAAAATGGCGCCAAATAAATCCCTCTAACCCTTTTTTCTCTGAAGATATCGTCAAAAAACTTCAAACGAATTATTATGACTTTCAAGCATCATTCCAATTGAGTGAAATGGAAATGTTTTTTGTATTTCCTAAATTTTTTGAAGAACTGAACAAGTTGGAGACTTTTAGTTATTGAGGGAGAAATCGGAAATTTTCCTGGCTACAAAATGGCGCCAATTAAATCCATCTAACCCTTTTTTCTCTGAAGATATCGTCAAAAAACCTCAAACGAATTATTATGAATTTCAAGAATAATTCCAATTCAGTGAAATGGAAATGTGTTTTGTATTTCCTAAATTTTTTCAAGAACTGAACAAGTTGGAGACTTTTAGTTATTGAGGGAGAAATCGGAAATTTTCCTGGCTACAAAATGGCGCCAAATAAATCCCTCTAACCCTTTTTTCTCTCTAGATATCGTCAAAAAACCTCAAACGAATTATCATGAATTTCAAGAATAATTCCAATTCAGTGAAATGGAAATGTTTTTTGTATTTCCTAAATTTTTTCAAGAACTGAACAAGTTGGAGACTTTTAGTTATTGAGGGAGAAATCGGAAATTTTCCTGGCTACAAAATGGCGCCAAATAAATCCCTCTAACCCTTTTTTCTCTCTAGATATCGTCAAAAAACCTCAAACGAATTATTATGAATTTCAAGAATAATTCCAATTGAGTGAAATGGAAATGTTTTTTGTATTTCCTACATTTTTTCAAGAACTGAACAAGTTGGAGATTTTTAGTTATTGAGGGAGAAATCGGAAATTTTCCTGGCTACAAAATGGCGCCAAATAAATCCCTCTAACCCTTTTTTCTCTCTAGATATCGTCAAAAAACCTCAAACGAATTATCATGAATTTCAAGAATAATTCCAATTCAGTGAAATGGAAATGTTTTTTGTATTTCCTAAATTTTTTCAAGAACTGAACAAGTTGGAGACTTTTAGTTATTGAGGGAGAAATCGGAAATTTTCCTGGCTACAAAATGGCGCCAATTAAATCCCTCTAACCCTTTTTTCTCTGAAGATATCGTCAAAAAACCTCAAACGAATTATTATGAATTTCCGGGTGAGTCATATATTGACACTAGAATGAGAATACGGTAAAAAAAAATGACAGAAATATTTTTATGTGGAGTGGCGAGAGGCGGGGGAAATATGGGACAATAAAAACAATGGAGGACATTCAATTTGGACTGGAACTTTGTTTTTTGGTATGTGATGTATTCAGTGACCCAGTGGTACCTATGGAGGGAATACACACACGTATCAAAGGAATGTAGACGCTCAAAATGGTTTTTAAAAGGCTCCCTCCACCTCACATCGCTGAAATCCAACATCTCGAGTTACCTCAGAACGTGAAGTGTCCTTGGGGAATGCCACGGGGTTTTTGGTTTATAGAAGATGAAAATAATGGAGAGAATGAAGAAGAAATGAAAATAAATTCAGTGAACTATAAAAATTCCTCGGTTTTTTATTTATTGAGGTGAAATTCTTATGTGTTAAAATACAAGGATAGAGTGCAAAAAATATTTCAAAATATTTAATATTTAATATTGATTAAAAATTGAATAAATTGAAATTTTTACATTCTTTCTCTAGAAAAATTGTGAAATATGAAAAAAAAAATCTTGCAATGATTTTTTTAGGCAACAGAAATTTTTTTAAAATTCTAAAATTGAAGGATTTATTATTATTAAAGACAAATTGAAATATAAGTAAATTTTCAAGAACTAGAATTTGAAAAAAATTGAAATGTTCCCTTTTTGTGTTTTTAAAGTAAAAAAAATTGTGGAAAAAAATATAAAAATCCAATTATTATGACATGAACTTCAAGTCATAAAGAATCATGAGACAATTTTTTTAATTGAATGAAAAAAAAATCTCAACTCAAATTAATAGAAAATGAAAAATTATAATTCATTAATTTTCTTCAATTTTTTCTCCAAAAATTGAAAAAAATAACTGCAATATTTATTGAAAAATAGTATTATCATTAAATATACCTCTAAACTCCGTGAATATCAACAAAAAATGGCGGCAGAATCAAAGAAATTAATTTCTAATTTTCATTTCAGCAGCGAAGTGGTAAAAGAGTTTACGTCGACTTATCTCCCAATTGTTTTTGAGAAATATTTCCGAATCTGAGGGAGATAGCGAAATTTTCGTAATTACATTTGTTGTAGCACTCAATCGGCTCCACAAAAAAGGTTATAACAACAATTCTGCTATCTCCCTTAGATTCCGAGATATTGATTGAAAACTGGTCAATAGTCGAAATTGACTTATACCATTTTACCACTTCGCCACTGATTTCCTTTGTTCTAGAAAATCAAAAAAAATTGTAGGTTTTTACCATAAAAATGAGCTTGTTTTTCACGCTGAAATGCCACATCCCGAGATAAATCACGAATTTGTTGAGTGGTTTGAGAGGCCATCCCATGAAGAGTCAAATGGAAACGTTTTCATTCGAAACGACCATTATCCCCCGAAATGTGGAAGCACTCTGGGTTATTCAAACGGAGCAATACGACGACAGGAAGTGGCGTCGAGACGCCCATGGGGCGCGTCTCCACACTGTACGGAGGGGGGGGGGGTATATATATTTGGNGGGTATATATATTTGGAAATAGTTTTGTACAAAACACGGCATTTCCAGGGAAATAAGATTTTCCCTATCGCAGCATTTACAACATCCGTTTGTCTCTCTTCCCCATTCATCTCTCACCCAATCTCTTTTTTTTATCAATTTTTATCATCTTCTTACCTGTTTTGAGAAGACCGCAATGTCCTCGTTGAAACTCTCTGACGAACACACATCACCACCAGCTACACCCGGTTCTCTCGGTGTGCACGTTGCCAACTCACATTTTTCGAATATTAGGGCGAGTAGTGGAAACAGTGGATGTCTGCAAAAAAATGGAAAACAATATTTTAATTGTATAATTCTACTTTCATTGAAATAAAAATGAACACTTCCCTTACGAAACATTAGTTTAGGCACGAGAATTGAAAAGGCCAAGGAATTAATCATCTAATCGTCATTGTTTTGATAATTTTCATTTTTTTTTAAAGTTTTTTGTGAAAATAAAAACAATTAAAAATTAAAAGAAGTGAAATTATGGATTTTTTATTATTATTGGTGGTTTTCTGGGCGATGGAAACATGAATCAGAAGTTTTATTCATAAAAACCATTGAATAAACGAATAAATTGATGAGTAATTATCATTATTTTTAAGATTTTTATTTTTTTTACGTTCAATATGAAAACAAAAACGATAAAAAATTTAAACGAATGAAAATACATAATTGTTTATCATTCCCGTTGATTTTCTAGGCGATAGGATCATGAATCATAACTTTTATTCATGAAAACCATTGAATTTGTTATTCTAAAAATTTTTTTAGAGTGAAAATTGTCATAAAATTGATCAAATATCGAAAAATGATATTTTTTATTCTGCATTTACAATTTTTGTCACATTTTGCCCAATAAAAACACGATAATTATTGAGAAAAAACACTGAAATAATTTTTAAAAATCTCAGGGATAAAAATTTGAATAAAAATCATCAAAAAATGGAAAAAAAAATGTTAAAATGAAGAATAATGTGTCCGGGGATATTTTGACGCTTTCTGTTGTAACTTCTCCCCAAAAAAAATTAAGCGTGATTAAATTTGAACAGGGAATACCCCTGGAAGAGACGAAATTCACCGTGAAGTATATCGGAAACGCTGTTGCAGTGACTGAAAGGAGGGGGATTTCTCTCACGTTTTTTTTTTTCATCTCCCTTGCACCGGGCATTCGTATTTAGTTTTGAACAGGAGTATGTGGAAAGGCGTCGCGCACGCGGTCCGACGGAAGCCTCTCGCCAAAAGCCGTGTAGCAGCTGTTTATCGTTCGGGGTACTCTGACCCAACTTCTCTTCTTTTCTCTTCATGCCGAGGAGAGAACGTAAAATTTCAAAAATAAAAATGTGAAAATGAATTTTAAAAACAAAATCTTCCCACAAATTCAAGGAAACAAACACTTCAACTTCTAAACAATTAATAAAACGAGTGTTAACAAAACATTGGGATTCATGAAATAATTAATTTTTTAATTTTGTGAATAAGAAAATTGAGAAAAATTTGCAACAAAATGAAAAAATCTAGATGTTAAACCGAAATTTCAAGAAGTGGAATCTCTAAATATTTGTAGAATCGTTTTCCAAGAATTAAAAAAAATATTAAAACTTGTGGAATAACTATTTAATATTGTTTAAATAGAATAATTTATTTTGGAATTTTACGATCCAAAAATTCGAAAAAATTGGTTTTTTACTCTTCAATTTCAGTTTTTTTGTTACCAAAATAATTTCATCATTTCGTCATTCAAAAAAGGAAAAAACATTGAGATTCATAAAATAATTATTATTTTCCAATTTCATAATTTAGAAAAATGAGAAAAATTGCCAGCAAATTGGAAAAATCGAGAGGTTAAACCAAAATTTCAAGAAAGGAAATCCCTAAAAATTCATAACATTAATAAAATGATTTTCCAATAATTCAAAAAATATTTTAAAATATCCGATAATTATTTAATATTGTTTCGACCGAAATCATATTTTTATAATCCAAACATTAAAAAAAAATTGATGAATTAGTGATTTCTTAAGAAAACGATTTTTTTATTCGTCAATTTCACGCCTTTTTCTTCAATTGCTCATCGTAATTTCATTATTTCGTCGTTCAATCAGCCAATGAAATTTTATATTTAGGTAAAAGCGTGAATCCGACGTCGTTAGGCCATCGAGACAGAGGGTGACCCCTAGGCCCCCTCAGGATTGTGGGATAAGATAAGATTAGCCACGATGCAGCCTAGCCACAGCTCTCAGTATTTTCAAACTTCGTAAAACGAATCATAATGCCCAGTGCAACGACCCCCCGACGACGCCAGAAAAATTTCAAAAATTGTCATTTCGCCGTTAAAAAAATTTGAAAAATCATTCGAGTCATCGTATGACGAATTCAACAATTAAATAAATAATTCCGAGTGGAGGAATTCCATCTCGCCTCGTGTGTGCCAATGGTAGCTGCCCTAGTCGGTGCCAAGGGCATAAAATGATTCGGAACGAATTTCGACAAATTGACGCGAGTCCCTCTCCCTCGCAACAAAATAAAAATACTCGTAATACGTAACAAAACCCCTCAGCGCAAACGCCGACACGAGAATTAAAATTAAACAAAATAAGAGATGTTTTTTTTTCGAGAGAGGAGAATAAAACATCTTCGGTAGCTTCTTGTTTTTTTTTTTTTTTCCTCTCGTGCCCTGGGCCCTACTGTGAGCGTTTCAACTTCCTTCGTTGGCACACGTTTATACACACGAGGGAATACGATGCTGTGAGGATTTTTAACGGGGAAAATGGGCGTCTCGATGGAGGGGGATATTTAATGGGAGATCGTGCGAGATTGGGGGAGAAATATTCGCGGATATTGAAAGTGTAGTTTTTTAGTTTTTAGTGGATATCTCAGTGAAATGGATAAATTTGTGAAAATATACATTTAACGACAATTTTTTGTGTGCAAATCTTGTTTTAAAAACGGAAAAGAATGAAAGGAAATGTCAAGTGGATTTTTGAAAAAAATTTTATCCAATTTTTTTATGGAAAATTTTTTTTAAAAGCAGAAGAATGAAGCGAAATATCAAGTAATTTTTTAATTTCGTTAAATATCAAATAATAAAAATCTCTTTTGTTTTTTTTAATTGAAAAATAATTTTTTAATAGAAATCTCAATATGATGAAAAAATAACAATTTTTTAATTAAAAATGCGAAAGAAAATAAAAGAAATTGTCAAGTATTTTCTTTTTCATTTTATAAAATTTTTGAAATTGTTTACTGTATAATACATTTAAATGGCAATTTTTTAATTTTCAATAGAGAAGTCAATTTCATAAAGAACTGAATAAAAGAATCAATTTTTTAAATAAAAAACAGTATTCGCAATTTTTTTAATAAAAAAAAAGAAAAAAAATAAATGAAAGGAAATGTCACGTCATTTTTTCTTTCATTTTCATTAAATATGGAATAGAAAAAAATGTATATTATTGATTAAAAATCATTTATTGAACCGGATTAATCGAATTTTCAACACGGCAAATTGAAGAAAATAGAGGGAATTATTTGGTTTGTCTCTGTGAAGACGATTCAAACGTTTATTGAGAATAAAAATAAAAAGTGTGATTGTAAAGCCGGGATAAACGATAAATGCGTAGGTGCACACGCGCGAGAGGCACTCGGTGACGGATAAACAAGGTGTCAGGATGATGCGACCGCAAAGGTAATGATATGATTGGCCGTTGAACGTTGTTTGGGGAATGATGCGGTTTTGTGGTTTCCGCTATTCTGCGTTTGCTGGTACCTCGGACATACGGATAAATTGTATTGTACCCGCGTCCTTACTTTCTCTTATCGATGTCCGTGCTTTAAACTCGGGAAAACCTCATAATAAATGTAAAAAATCAAATCAATTTTTCAGATTTCTACAAGTCACGTAATTTTCCCATAAAACATGAATTTTCAATCATTTTAAGAGCATAAAAAAATGCATTACATAATTGCTAAATATTTTATATTTTTTATTCATTTTTATTTTTTTTCAACTCAAAAAAATTGAGAAAAATCGATGAAAATGAAATTGAGAATATCAAATTAAATTTTTTTTAAATTACTCAATTTTGTATTAACAGGAAAAAGCTTTTCAAAAATTATAAAATAGTTGATTACTGTTTGCTCATGAAATTCTACTCTCCTTTCGATTTTTTGAACTCAAAAATTTGGGAAAAGAATTATTATTGTCTTGAAAAAGCAAAATTTTCATTCTTCCAACCAATTTCTTTCCTTTTTTATTTTTTTTAAATTTCTCTTGACCCAAAAAAATTGAAAAAATCGGAGAAAACAATTGGAAATTATTGAAAATCGTTTGAAAGCTCAAATCGAACCAAAATTGAAATTAAAAATATCAAATTGTCATTTTTTTATAATTTCTCAATTTTTTATTAACAGAAAAATGCATTAAAAGAATTATAAAATAATTGATAACTATTTTTCATGAAATTCTACTCAATTTTCGATTTTTTGAGCTCAAAACACCTGCGAAAAAAATTGCACTGTCTTTCCCAATTAAAAAAAACATTACTGTCTCCAAAACTGCAAAATTTCCATTCATAGAAGCAATTTGTCTTCTTTTTTATTCATTTTTAATTTTACTTGGTCCAAAAAAATTATAAAATAATTGACAACAGTTTTTCATTAAATCCTACTCGATTTTCGATTTTTTGAGCTTAAAACATCGGCGAAAAAAATAGAACTGTTTTCCCCAATTAAAAAAAATCATTGTCATCTCCAAAAACGCAAAATTTTCATTCTTCCAAGCAATTTCTCCCCGGAATCGCCCAGGAAACCGGCCTGAGAGTGCAGCCATGTCCCAGTCCTCTTAAAAAAAAAACTGGTGGGATAAAAGCCCCTAAATAATCCCTAAAATTCCCGGAAACTCTTCGACGGAATACAAGAGGGGCACACGACGAGTGGACAAATTGCAGGTTACCACCGAAAAATAATAAGCTCCCGTTTTTCGCACGAAAAAATATCCCAATAAATCACGCGGTTCTCATTGCCCCGCACAAGCCCCCAAAAATTCCGCAAAACTCGAAATCAAGAGAAGAATCTTCCCCCTAATGAAGCCGCCCTTGAAAAACTATTCTCTGAAATTAAGACGTTCTTGCCCCCCCTTTAAGACGTTTGTGTCGCCAAATTCAGTTCATTTTTAGTGTCTCAAATTAATTATTTCTATACTGACAATTGTTTTTTCACTGATGATTTTGATGACGTCCCTCTTAAATTAAAACGTCTTAAATACCCCGATTGGTCCCCAAAAATTCCTGAAATTGAATTATCCGCTCGCATTTTTAAACAATAAATAAATTCCTCATCAATATTAATCATCATCTCCAGCTCCCCTCCCCCATAAACTTTCCCCCTTTCGCCAGGTGCACTCCCCCCCCGCAAAAAAAAATAAAATAAACTCAAGAAGAACCAAAGAAGAGGAGGAAAAAAATGAATTCTTCACATGCGTCCACCGGTAGCTCTCAATTACGCATCGTCGCACGGAAGAATTTTAATTAAAAAATTAATTTATCTGTTCTCGATCGACACATCCGATGCAGATCGTCCAGCCCGATGACCCCAGCGCCCCCCCCACCCTTCACTCAAACCTCTGGCATATCCCCCCAGTGCAACATCTCTTGTGTTTTTTCCCTCGAATTCCTTTAATTAACGATAAATGCACTTTTATAATGTATGGGGAAATGCCTTATTAGAAAAGCCACCGATGTCTCCATCACGAGTGCCGGGAGAGCGTCGGACGTTGAAGTAAAAAAATATATTCATTCAATTAACGCAATACTCACTCTCGCTGAATGAATTTAAATCTCATTACCCATTATCTAATTCTGTACATTAATTTCTTTGTAATGCTGAATTGAACGGACCAGATTAACATTTTATTTACTATTTTGTCGGCCATTTTATGGCCCATGTAGCTGTGATAAAAATGATGTTAATGAGCTGTTGGAGGGGAAATAAAAATTAATGAGAGATTTTCCCAATGATCTTCGCTAGTCGAGTAGAATGTTCCGACTAATGATGCAAAATTAACGTTAAAAAATACTTTTCACTGAGAACGGCAGATTAAATTTGTTCTGGATTTGTGACGTCACAGAATATCTCTGAATGGGAGGGGAATCAGGATGATTATCGATATTAGTTTACAAGAAAAACTGGCATATGAGCAAAAAATAAACAATTTGTCATAAACAATTTACAAGGAAATTATTGTCAAAACATCTATAACTGATTTTCATCTTCCTTAGGGATATCCATTTTCAATCATCAAATTTGTCAATTCAAATTATATTATTTTTTCAAACAATTGTTGTTTATAAATGAATAATTGAAATTGTTTAAACTTTCGGAAACCTTATTTTTTCGGCGTAAAATAGATTTCTGGTTAATTTATGAATATAAATAAATGTTTACGATTCCGAACAAATGATTTTTATAGTGGAAAATTGATTGTTTATAAATTATTTATAATTAAATATTCAAGATGTTATTCAATATATTTATTTATTCTGATTTATACTCATTTAATATATTATTTATAATTGAAAGTATTTATAATTAAATATAAATATTTAATTATAAATAATTCAAATTATTTATAATTTACAATCAATTTTTTATAAAATTGATTATTTATCCATTTGTTAAATTTTTTTTTAATAAATATTTTTTATAAATTTTTCATTTAAAAACAATCTTTTTTTATTTTAAAATGTTTTTCAACAGTTCAATATCGAGATTTAAATAATAAAATCAGGGTAAAATGGGAAAAAAATCAATGACAGAATGACATCAACCGCATCAAAATGCTAATTAACCCAATACGCAATGAATTAAATTAAAAATTGATTTAAAAAATGAAGTTGCATCGTTATAAATGAAAAATTACTGTCATATATTTTTTTAATTGCGAAGGCCATTCAGGAAGGGGGGGGGGGATTGTGACANGGGGGGGGGGGGGGATTGTGACAGCCGTTGTATGACGGGTCAACGCATTTGCATCTCCAGTCAAGACTGAGAGATCGAATTGCTATTGGCACTTACCCATAAATGGCGTCTTTGTCGCGTTTGTGAACGTCAGGTACCGCTGATGCAGCGGCCGCTGCTGCCGCTGCTAGTACATGCTGTGGTGGTGGTTGTGGTGGTGGTGGATACTGTGGATGTGCCGGTCCCATTCCACCCAAGTGTGGACTGTGGTGAAGACCCGGTACACCTCTTGCATTACCGTGTGGATCGTATAATCCACCAGTGCCACCACCACCGCCTGCCTCGAGGTAACCCCCGTGCAGCCCGCCATCGTCATACTGCAGACGAAAAAATCAAAATTAAACGATTTTTTAAACCATTTTTACCCTAATTCATTTTTTTGTGCATAAAAATGGGATTGAGTTTTTTTTTAAATAAATTTCTGGAGTTTTTTCTACGATGAATATTTTTAAATGATATTTTTAATCATTTTCAATTTTTAATAATTAAATTTTTTTTCGTTAAAAATTCGAGTCAATCGATTTTTTTGCGTTCAATAATTTTTTCTATTGAATTAATCAAGCGAAGAATTGAAGTTTGGTGAATACAACATTTATTCGGGTAAATTTTTAATCATAACTGAATTTTCGGAATGTTTAAATAATAAATTGAACTCATGTTTTGGTGGAAAATAACAAAAACTTGGGAAAAGACTTGAATAAATTTTTTTAAATTTAATTTTTTCCAAATGTTTTAATTTTTATAAAACCTTTCGCAAAATAATTATATTTTCTTCATTAAAATTTAATTCAATTAATTCTTCAATTATGATTGGATTTTTTGAATTTTTGAACAATTATAGAAATTTAGGTTTTGTTGAAATTTCTAAGAAAAATTGAAATTTTGAATAAATTTTTTTTTTCTCAAAAAATTGAGACGAGAGAATAATTTTTCCAATTGCATTAATGAAGCGAAGAAGTAAATTTTCTCCAGTAAAAAATTTATTCAGTTAAATTTTCAATTAGATTAATTTTCAGAACGTTCAAACAATAAATTGAACTCATATTTTGTTGAAAAATAACAAAAATTCGCGAAAATAAATTTATAAAACTGAATTTTTTTCGAATTGTTTAAAACCTTTCTCAAAATAATCTCAATTAAATTAATAATTTTAATCAGTAAATTCTCCTTTTCACGGCAAAACGTTAAAATTCATGGAATTAATTAAATCCAGAAAGGATTACACAACGAAAAAAATCATTTTTTTCACGACAAGTAAAATTGTTTTCACATTACGATAACAATCACAAATTCCCCCGGACATGGCATCTCAAAGGATATATTAATTAACCCTAATGCATCTGATGACAGACACATATTCTCTCCATTATTCGGTTATACCCCATTATACCTCAATTATTATGTCACTCTTCTCGGTTGATGACCGATTTTCATAATTCCGGAAACAAAATACAAAACAATTGGCCACAGTTGTTTGAAAATCATTATTGTAGAGCATTAACTATAACCACGAGGAACGGGTTTTATGTGTATTTGTCCCTTGTGGCTTGTACATTTACATAAAGAGGTTTGACGTATGCGTTATAGATGCGGGAACGTGTTTTACTGATGGCTCGCGTGACGCTAATTATCATTCCTGGATACACTGGGTCGTGACCGCATCTAATACGTGTCCTTTTTCAAAAAAATCTTGAGAGAAATGAGGGGGAAAAATATTAAATTGTGACAATTTCATTAAAAATTTCAGCCCCTCTCCGAAAAACATTGATCACATCTGATTTATGAGGAGAATTTTGTCAGCTACAAAAATGATTTTATGATATTTTTCGCTAGAAGCAGTTGTTTCAACGATATTTTGGGAATCATTAAAGATGTAATTGATGTTTTGTTTGAAATTAGAGATTTGCTTGATATTAAATTGGAAATTATCTCGGTAAAAAAAGGTTTTCTGACGCAATGTCAATGGACATTTTTTGCGGAAAATTCCGTTAACAACAAAAATGATCTTATGACATTGTTCACTAGGAGCAGTTGTTCCAGCAATATTTTGCGAATTATTGAAGATGTAATTGATGTTTTGTTTGAAATTAGAGATTTGCTTGATGTTAAATTGGAAATTATCTCGGTAAAAAAAGGTTTTTTTGACGCAATGTCAATGGATATTTTTTGCGGAGAATTCCGTTAACAACAAAAATGATCTTATGACATTTTTCACTAGGAGCAGTTGTTTCAGCGATATTTTGGGAATTATTGAAGATGTAATTGATGTTTTGTTTGAAATTAGAGATTTGCTTGATGTTAAATTGGAAATTATCTCGGTAAAAAAAGGTTTTCTGACGCAATGTCAATGGACATTTTTTGCGGAGAATTCCGTTAACAACAAAAATGATCTTATGACATTTTTCACTAGGAGCAGTTGTTTCAGCGATATTTTGGGAATTATTGAAGATGCAATTGATGTTTTGTTTGAAATTAGAGATCTCCTTGATGTTAACATGGAAATTATCTCTAAAAAACGGGTTTTATGACGTAATGTCAATAGACATTTTTTGTGGAGAATTTTGTTAGCTACAAAAATGATTTTCTAGCATTTTTCACTAGGAGCAGTCGTTCCGACGATTTTGGAAAATATCAAAGATGTAATTTTTGTTTTACTTGAAATTAAAAATTCAAAAAGCGCTTTGCAATGAAATATTATCATAAGTGCTCGATTTTCCCCCGCGTTACATCCCAAACCAAGCACCACAACCAGAAATATTAATTTACGAACAGTAATAAAAAAAAATGAGGCCAACCGAGAGAAAATAAAAATCCCCTGATAATTCACGAATGCAGTTGCACTTATGAAGATATCAGAGACACTGCCGACGCTGTGGAATATTTCATTAATAAAAAAAAAGCGAGGGGAAAAGAATCGCTGAAACTCCCTGAGAAGGAGGAAAGAGTGACGTTTATCCATAAACATTGATCACGAAAAACGAATGGCAAGAGAAAGATGATGGGGAAGTGGAATAACAGAGTAAAAAGAAATATTGCATCCAAAGGATGAAGATGAAAGAGAGGAAGAGGGAGGTGCAGCAATGCAATACCTCTCCCCCCTTCCCCTGCAGCATCCAATGAGAGTTGGGGTCCAATTCGAAAGTGATTCGACGTTGTAAGGAACTCCTGGCGCCACGTATTTATCACTGACACTAATTACTCAAGTGTTTATTGCCCGAATAAAACGTAACATGAGGCGTATACATTTTTTTCATCGGCATAAACTGACCACAAACCACCAAAAATCTTGGGATAATATTATTAAATGTTTTTTGGGGGTGAGTTACTTGATGAATTGCAGATGTAGAACGAAATTCTGTTGAAAAATCCGCGGAAATTTCAGATGCAAAACAGAATGCGAGCCCTTCGTCCCCTGAAGATTGCGATAAATTGAAGGAAGATGCGGTGCTACGAGGAAATGTCATTGAACATTTTTTGTGGAGAATTTCGTCAGCTAGAAAAGTTGTTTTGTGATGGTTTTCGCTAGGGGCAGTGCTTCTGGAGATATTTGGGGAATTAGGAAAGATGGAATTGTTGTTTGTTTGGGAATTAGAGATTTGTTTCGTGATGAATTGAAAATTGTCTCGGTGAGGAAGGGTTTTATGGGGGAATTTCATTGGACATTTTTTGTGGGGAATTTTGTCAGCTATAAAGATGATCTTATGAGGTTTTTCGGTGGGAGCAGTCGATCTCGAGATATTTGGGAATTAGTGAAAAGGTAACTGTTGCGTTGTTTACACTTGTTTGATGAATTGCCAATGAAGAGTGGAATTTCATTGGAAAATTTTGCAGAGTTTCAGCTGAAAAAGACAATATGTTGACCCCTCCGACCCCTCAACGTGCAGAAATTTTTTTAAAAATTATTTGACTTAAAAAAAAATATTTTTTCATGTTGAAAAAAAAAATGCGCATCTCCAATCTGTCAAAATATGCGATTATCTCCATAAATAACGATTCTACGAGAAAATGTCACTCCACCTTTTTTCTAGCTGACAAAATTTCCAACAAAAAATCCCTCTCCCATTTTCCCCTGAAACCCCTCCCCGCCGAGATAACCAGCCCTTCAAACCCAGAATGCTCTCTCAACTTTTCAAATAATCAATTCATCTTGAAAAAAATAATATAAAAATTGTTATTTATCCCCACATGATTTAAAAACATTCTAAAAATACCAAAAACTTCAAGTTCATCCCCCCCCCCCAAACCCCCGAACGTCACGTCTATATTTTCTCTGTATCTCGCATGTGTCTGACGTTTTCACCTCAACATTCGTCCGATTATTGTCCCTCGGGGCACGCACCTCTTTTATTTTCCCTCGACTTTAGCGTCTCAACCCCCCTCCCTGTGATCTTTTGCGGGCACGCGAAGACTCGAAGACACGCACACGAAGAATCATTTTCCAACGGTATATCTTCAAAGATGCAAAGTCACTGAAACCCCCTGAATAACTAAATATTCCCGGAGTATTTTGCATACACTGTCATGAGATTTCGGCATATGCTTCAACAATATAATACATCGAACTAGAAACCCAGACAAGAATTTTTCTAGAGGAACTGCCAAAGCAAACGTCTAATTTCCGCCAAAACAACGATTACATGATAATTACTTGCCCGATATCGCGAGAACGACTGCTCCTGGCGAAAAATGTCACATAATCATTATTGTAGGGAATTTTGACACCTACAAAAAAGGTTCAGTGACATTTCATCGTAAAACCTGCCCTTACCGAGATAATCTCCATGTTAACATCGAGGGAATTCGACTTCCGAACCAAACAATAATTCCATCTTCCGTAATTTCCAAATTATCTCCCGAACGACTGCTCCTGACGAAAAATGTTATAGAATCATTTTTGTAGATGTCAAAATTCCCCACAAAAAAGGTTCAGCGACATTTCATCGTAAAACCCACCCTTACCGAGATAATCTCCATATTAACATCCAGGAAATCTCGACTTCCAAACAAAACAACAATTCCATCTTCACTAATTTCTAAATTATCTCCCGAACGACAGCTCCCAGCGGAAAATGTCACAGAACAGTTTTTGTAGCCGGCAAAATTCCCCACAAGAAATGTCCAGTGACATTTCACCGTACCATCACTGATTACCGAGTTAATTTAAAATTTACCAACACAAAATGAATCAAACTGTTATCACCGCCGATAAGAATCAACCCGCATCACATATTTTCTTCCTCAAGATTGGGAAAGTATTTCGGGGGGAGTTGTGTCCCGACAATGATCGCTCTATCGGGGATTAAGTGATATCGGAAATCGAGAGGTACAAGACTGATAAGTACATTGCTTACAACTTTGTCTCCGTTATCAGTGTTTCGTTCCGGTGTTGTTTTAGAGTAGGAAAATTATTCCCCCGGTTGTGAGTCTGACGTTTTCAGTGAATCAAGTGGATAATTAAAAATTTTAAATGAGGGAAAAATTGTAGGTGACGACAATTTGACGGAGTTGAAACAGATAACTGCGATCAACAGCGTCATAAATCAACAGAAATGCTTGAACAAGTGTTACCCTCACGAAGCGTCAATTTTGGCGAATCTAGGGGTGTACTAATACTTCCGAGCCATGTGCAACAGTGCCCATATGATTATTAGACCCTTAAACCCTAAAAAGTCCTCTAAATTCAATCAGCTAGCTTCAGCTTCACATTTGCGTGATGTTAACATGGAAATTACGACGGGAAGGAAGGGTTTTATGATGAAATGTCACTGGACCTTTTTTGTGGGGAATTTTGTCATCTACAAAAATGGTCCTGTGACATTTATCGCTGGAGGAAGTTGTTTTTGAGATATTTGAAGAATTTGTGAAGACGTAATTGTTGTTTTGTTCGAAATTTTTGGTTTATTCGGATTTCCATGATGTAAAATGGAAATTAAGTCGAGAAGCAAGAGTTTTACGATCAAATGTCACTGGACCTTTTTTGTGGGGAATTTTGTCAGCTACAAAAATGGTCCCATAATATTTTTCGCTGGGAGCACTCCCTCTCGAGATATCGAGGAATAACAAAGATATAATTTTTGTTTCCCAAGTCGTCATGTTTCCCGACCTCCGATACCACTCTCCGTCGGTCCGGAATTATTTAAATTCCCGTCACTCCGCAAAGTTCAGTAATCCCAGCTTGCATTTCGCCCAAGAATAAAACAAAAAGATTGCGAAAAACGTGAATTAAATCAGTGATCGTCATTCACCGTCAGGAGATAAAATTTTCAACACTCGAATTGAGAATTTAGAGCGCGTGCACTGTATCCCATTCTTTCCCCAATGAAAATTGATTTTGATGCTCAAGTGAGCCACAAAGCGAGTAGAATTCAGCCCAGAAATAAACATGACACACGGCCCCGCGATATTTACATCGAAATAAAATTCCAAATCAACTTTTGCTGATGGCAGAGTGAATTTTCCTTCTGATAAAACCGATCTAAACTTTGACATTGTGCCTTCGCCTGTTGTTTTCCCTCGTGACCAGTGTACACACGACAGAGAACAAGGACCCATTGACTGGTGAAATAGTCGTACCGTGTGCCATCTCACCCGCAAATGCCAAAAGCACGTGCGTAACAGCAAGTTCAACTTTATTTGCAATAAGTAGACTAATCGCGTCCTCACATTATCGCCGATATCGCCGGAATGAGACGTCCTGCAACAAAATGTGACTGGACCTTTTTTGCCGAGAATTTTGTTATCTTCAAAAATGATTCCACAACATTTTTCGCTGGGAGCAGTCGTTCTCGAGATATTGGGGAATTACTCAGGATGTAATCGTTGTTTTGTTTGGAATTGAGGTGCTACCTGATGCTAAAATAGAAATTATCTCGGCGAGGAGCGGTTCTACGGAAAACTGTCATAAGAGCATTTCTGTGGAAAATTTAATAACCTACAAAAAAGGTAGAGGCGTATTTTCCCGTAGAACCAGCGGTCGCGGAGATAATCGGACATTTTTAAAACCTGTCACCTGCGGGGTATTGGGACGTCGAAACAGTGTAACACTCGCCTCGCTCGGCCGTCGGCTAAATTCCCCGGAATTTCACTTGTAATTCACCGCGTGAATTCACTCTAATGTGACATTTCCATTTCACGTACCATAAAACCGAATTTATTCCGGATTAAACTGCACAAAACTCAAATTATTTCATTTTTCGTCACTTTAAGAATTTCTTTAAAATGTTGAAAACGTTTTTGGAAGTTTGAAATTATTGTTGGAACGAGTTTCAACGTTCTCTACAGTTACACGCACATTGTTGTAAACCGGTTGGAGTAAACTTATGCAGAGCCATGCCGGAATTATCTGTCCGTCGGCGTTGACAAGTACTGAATATTTGCTAAGTGACAAAATTATTCTGAACTAATCTGAGGCACTCCGGATGCGATAAAAATACGATAAAATAATAGTCGCGAGTATAATCCCCTTGAAACTAATGTTGTAATGAGAAAAAAATTTTATCGATGGAGAGTTGGAGAATTCTGGCAGTTTGAGAAATTAAAGTCATTGATAACTGCAAAATCGAACGAAATGGCGAATTCAGTTTTTTGTTTAATGTCGATTATCTGGAGAACGAGTGGTCCTAGCGGAAATTGTATGAAAGTCTTTTTTGGAGATAATTTCGTGATCTTCGGAAATGATTTTATGACATTTTCCCGTGGAATCAGTTGTTATCGAGATAATTGTGGAATTAATAAAAGAGGGGGTTCATTTTCAGGGATTAGACACTTCAGTTTTAATTTTTTTTCACGATTCAATTGTTGAGTTTGATTTTAATGTTTCTGGGAGTTTTGGAGGTTTTTGATCATTAAATTGACATATTACACATCTATTAAACGAGATTAATAGATTTTTAACACTTTTAATGATGAAAAGAAACAATTTTCTGCGCAGGTTTTTATATTTTTAAAATTTTAAATTTCTAAAAATCAATTGTTCCCACTAAAAAATGTCATCAAATTTTTTTTACTGAGAATTTCATAATTTTCTACATCAACATCTCATAATTCACAACTTCACGTCAATTCTTCCAAACTTTTCAGGATTTTATTTCAAAATTTTCAGTGACAAAATGTCACAAAAGACTTATAACACATTTATCAAATGAGATTTTAACAATAAAAATCTCCGGCAACTGAATTGTCCAATTTTTCTTCATTTTCTTAAATTCCAACTCTTTGAAAATCTAGTGTTCTCACCGGAAAAAATTATCAGACCTTTTTCTGCAGAATTTCATCATTTCCAAAAGACAATTCTCCATAAACCCTAGACCCACTCTTCAAATTTTTCACGAATTCCCAAAACTCAAAATCAACATCTCATGATTCACAACTTCACGTCAATTCTTCCAACATTTTGAGGTTTATTTAAAATTCTTTAATGACGAAATGTCGTAAGAGAATTATTCCCCATTCATCAAACGAGATTTTAAAAATAAAAATCGCTAGTAATTCCATTTTCTCAAATGCCAACTCCTTCAAAACCCAGTGTTCCCACCAAAAAGTCATCAGACCCTTTTCCCCAGAATCCAATAATCCCCAAAAATACCTGGGCCCAACATCCTAGACCCCCTCCCCACCAAAATCCCCAGGACTTCCCAAAACTCAAAATCAACACCTCATGATTCGCAACTTCATGTCAATTCTTCCACCATTTTAACGTTCATTTAAATATTTTCAACACCAAACTCTCCAAAAAATTCCTCTCCATAACTTCACACAGTTCTCCCCCCATTTCTATAATAATTTCAAAACTTTCAACTTCAAAATATCCGAAGAGACTTCTCCCCATCAATCCACCAATCATTAAACCCTAAAAATTCATGAACCTGAAACTATTGAAAAATTCGACAGCAGAAGATTTGTCTTAATAAAATCTAGAGGTGTACAAATGTTTTTAAGTAATGTCCAAACTCTTTCACACTTAAACAACATTTGCCCATATAATTTCGTCTCTTCTACACCCAAGGGAGGGTGGGGTAAAACGGACACTACTTATTTAAAATTATTCATAACTCAAAAACAAATTGATCAATTGATCTCAGTTTAGGCTCGTCGCAAAGGGAAAGAGTTGTTCTTTGTATTGAAAAAAATATATATAAAATTTTATCAACATTTCAACCCCTCATTAACATTTTAAAAAAGTCAAGTGTCCGTTTTACCCCAACCCCCCCTAAATATCCCCTAAATGGAATTTTCTGCTGACAAATATTCTGCTAGTTTCAGCTTCATTAAAAATTCCCTAACCCCCAAAAACCCCTCCCCCACAACCGCATAATTTCACTGCAACTCCTGTACCCCAAATAAACCCAAAAAACCGAAAGTTTCGGCGGCAGAAGCTTCACTCGAGCCGAATCTGGTGATGACCAAATATTTTAAATTAATATAAAAATTCTTTGGCACTTGAAAATCACTTGCACGCCGATAGAACGATTGATATATTCCAAAAGAGGCTCGCTAACTATTAAGAACGAATGATATCCCCGAATGCTTCACTTGAAGATGAAAGTCGAGTCAAACAAGGCGCTAGCTAGGCCCTAACTAGCCCCTACCCTCCACCCAAATTCTATGAATTTTTATAATCGTGTTGTCTCGAGCAATTATTATTGTATATTCAAACTACCTCATTGACTCACTGCAATGATCCAGTCGATCGTAGTTTCACAGATAAAAATTAAGAATTGCAAGAGAAAACACGGTTTATTCAACTCAGCTCTTCGCTGTTTTCTAGGAATATCTCCGAATCCACGAGAAATAGCAAAATTTTCGTTACCACCTTTTTCACAGCTCTCGATTCGCCCTACAAAAAAGGTCATTACAAAAAATCTTCCATCTCCCATAGATTCCGAGATATTCCTTAAAATCTCGTTACGGACTTCTAAAAGTTCATCTAGACGCAGTTCCGTTTCCCCTTAACATCAGCTAATCCCTCCTGCCGCCGCACACAAGATCGTTGGCCTCTCACCCCCTGAAAACCCCCGGAAATATCCCCCCACTGGCGAATATTCCGCCGACGTCACCCTCCCCCAAAAATACCAAAAAAATCACGTACCCTTGGCTGCGCCATGAACGCCCTGGCAGCGCCGGGGAACTCTGCGTGCTGAGCCACCGTAGCGGCTGTGTTATCCCCCAAAGAAAATACCAAAGTCTCACTTCACACCTCCCCTCAAATCGCCACCTCAAAAAATCCTCCAAACACCCCCAAAAAAATCACTCGTCCCTGCACCTCCCAGCGTCCCCCAAAATCTCTATTTCACCGGCAAACGGGTGGACTGCGCCTTCGCCCTCCACCCTGGGGCCCTCCTGAGCCCTCTCACACACCAAACCCCGTCCTAAACCCCGAAAAATTCCGACCGCTGAAGCATATCAGCCGTCAGCACTGCGTCGCACGATGCCCAGAGTTCCCTTGCTTCCTCATCCCGTCGAGTCCTGGCCGCCGATTCCAGAATTAAAAAAATATCTCCGTGTCAGACCCACGTCACGAGCCCCATCGATTCCTCCCCGAAACTGTTCCGCACTGTCACTTCCGTTAATTCATAAATTCATAAACTGATGAACGATTTCACTGATTAAAAAACAAACAAACACCACCAGAACTTAACAAAAATAAATAAAATCACAGTGTCACTCTGCAGCAGCCGTACATCCTCGTGTTTTCCGACGGGGGTCGGGGGCTGGGGGTCGACGGAACGCAGTCGCCAGTGATTTTTCGGCGACGCCACCACCGACTGGGGGTCGCGGGGGCCAAACGAGGGCCCAAAAAGCCTCCAAGAGCTCCTTCCCCTCGGGTTTCTCGCGGGAAATCGACTTCCCGATCGTTTCCCTCGAACTTCACTCTCCACAACTTATTTCCCCCCGAGCAATAATCCCGCGCGTTTGCCCGAGAGAACACTAACCTCCAAAATAATCAATCCGTAAACACGTATCGCCCTCTGAGCTCCGTAAACCCCGGACTCTCCCAAATTCCTCGAAAAAACGTAAACAAAACAATTACGATTGTTGATATCGACGAAACAACGATCACCCGCTATCGCAACGACTGAATAATCCCGGTATATCGCACTCAACTGTTGTTATTCGTTAACAATAAAATTCCCCGGTTAATGACGAAACGAAATAGCCCGTGGTTAAGGGGAACGAGAGCGAGCGCCTTGAGCGTTTAGATCCTGCGCCGTCCGCAGTCGTTCGCCAACTGTCAATCACCGCTGTGCAACGGTGAGGAGAGTGGGAGGTATGGTACGTCAGACACGCCCATTCGCCACAACCAATGCGCCACACTGTTTACGCCCATTTGTGTGGGGTACATGTGGCGCCACGGCGTGGATACATGGCGAGATAAAATTGTTTCTCCGCCATCGCTAACACCAGTACATACAACTCAACTCGATTTTAACCCCCCTCTCCCTCCCGGGGAGACCCCTCGACCCCCTCGCCGCACCGAGCCGCCGCCCCCCCCCCCCCCC